GGGGAAATCAGCAGGCTCAACCCTTTCCTCAAAGGGATCATAGAAGTGAACCCGGATGCGCTTTATCTTGCGGACAAGGCTGACTACGAGCGCAAGACTAAAGCACCATCTGTGTCACTCTCTAAGTTACATGGCATTCCCATTCTGGTCAAGGACAACATTGCAACCAAGGACAAGTTGACCACCACAGCTGGCTCTTATGCTCTGCTTGGCTCTGTTGTGCCCCGGGACGCCGGTGTGGTGACCAAGTTGAGGAGGGCTGGGGCTATCATACTGGGAAAGGCCAGCTTGAGTGAGTGGTCCTATTGGAGGTCCGATGATGCACCTTCTGGTTGGAGTGCCAGAGGTGGCCAAGGGGTGGTATGTTATGTTGTGAAACTGTTAATTTAAAACATACCTTCAACAAAAAATTCACATAACTAATGTTCGAGATTGACTGACAGTCTGATAATATAACATAACAGACATTCTGAGATATAGTTCGGTTGAGTGCAGAACCCTTACAATTTCAAAGCGACGCCAAGCGGCTCAAGTAGCGGGTCGGCAATATCAGCGGCAGCAAATCTGGCAGCAGTGACACTGGGGACTGAAACAGACGGGTCAATTTTAAGTCCATCCAGTTGGAACTCAGTGGTGGGCATCAAACCAACAATTGGCCTTACAAGTCGAGCAGGGGTTGTCCCAATCTCTCCAAGACAGGACACGGTCGGGTAAGTGGTGATCAATCAATGTAAATTATTTTTACATTAATTTAGATGGCAACCTTTTTCAGTCTCATTGTTTGTTGGGGGGTGTTGGATTGAACAGGCCAATTGCTAGGACAGTATCAGATGCCGCATATGTTCTTGATGTCATTGCAGGCATTGACAGCAATGACCTTGCAACAATTGTGGCATCGAGGTACATTCCCAAGGGCGGCTATGCACAATTTCTCAGACCTGATGGACTTAGAGGTAAGAGAATAGGGATAGTGACAGCCTTGTTCAACTTCGGCAGTGACGCTTTGTTGACTCGAACTTTTGAACAGCATTTCAACACTCTGAGGTAACAAAACCATGTATTAGTCTCTCCAATTCGAGACATACGTTCTGTTTTGATGACATAATAAGTTGTTGGAATTTGGAAATTTAATGTAGGAAAAGAGGTGCTGTTTTGGTAGACAAATTGGAAATAGCACATTTTGATGAAATCTACAATGCAAGTAGTGAAAGCATTGCATTGTCTGCGGAGTTCAAAATTTACTTGAACACATACCTCAAGAACTTGGTGGCTTCGCCAGTTCGATCCTTGGCAGACGTGATAGCCTTCAACAATAAAAACTCAAAACTGGTGAGTAAATAGGAGCAAAGGTTTATGTTACTTCCAAATTATGCTCAGAATCTGTCCTAAGTAATTGGTTGAGCTACCGGCAATGCAGGAGAAAGTGAAGGAGTATGGCCAAGGCCGACTCTTGGAAGCTGAAGCAACAAATGGGATTGGCAATGCAGAGAAGGCAGCGCTGGTAAACTTGGCAAAGCTATCGAAAATGGTTTCGAGAAGCTTGTGACGAAGGAGAGGCTAGACGCAGTGGTGGCTCCATCTGAAGCCGTGTCGACGTTGCTCGCCATAGCAGGTTCCCCAGGTGTGGTTGTCCCAGCAGGATATACTAAAGATGGGGTACCGTTTGGCATCTCCTTTGGCGGGCTGAGGGGTTCGGAGCCAAAGCTAATTGAGATAGCATACGGCTTTGAGCAAGCCACTAAGATTAGGAAGCCTCCTTCACTTAAAAAACTTCAAGATTTTAGAGCCCCTTTTTATTGGGGTATTGAAGCTAATGGGGGTACTATTGTAGTCTTATGATCAAGAAAATGCTAAGAATAATAATGACGGGTCTTGATCATTTAGATTTTATTACAACTGTTCTCTTGGTCTAATACAATAATACTATTTCTCTTTCAAATGGTGCAAGAGATTCAAGTTCAAATGGCTCTCCTAAATAATAAAAAAAAAACAGAAATTCTATTAAAATTGAAAACTATTAATTACTTGTTTTCTATGATAACCTTTTCATGTGTTTAATAGTTGGAATGCATCATGATTTTTAATAGCATATAAACCTTAGGCACAAAATTACTTTTCGTTTCCTATGAAAAGCACAATTAATCGTGCTCTCAAATTATAATAATAATTTCATAGCCTCACTTATTATTACTTACTGTGAAGTGACATAGTAAAAGGTGATATTGACATGGATATTAGGCACAAATCTTGTGTCCAAATTGCAATGGACACAAACCTACAGTGTTTTATGTGTAAAAGACATGTTTAAGACATTTTTGTGCTAAATGAAGTTGAAAAAGACATGATCCTTCTTTTGTGCACTATAAAATGCGTCCTTAGAGCAGTTTTGTAGTGGTGAAATAAACTATACATTCCAAATTATGTAGCATGCGATCATGTTGTTATACTAGAATTGCTTAAAACTTCCATGTGGACATGAAATGACAAGAATCGTAGGAGAAAGTTGTTCCAACCAATAATCAAATACTCAGAACAAGGAAAAATTGCAGTCTCCTAACAAAGAGAAAGAGTATATCATCCAGCTATTATCCATGAATCTGGTTCTTTGTATCTCAATCCTCCATAAAGAGTATTAACCTAGAATAGTGTACATAACATTAGAATCATTACCATGTTGGGTATGTGATAATAATACTCGAAACTTCATACAGTCCATGATTTTGTTGTGGGGATTATAAAGCTTTAAATCATAGATAACCGTCCACAAATTGGATAATTTTTTGGTTGCATAGATAGAAGGCCAAAAGTAAGAGTTTATCACAATATCATCTCCAAGAGTGAGCTCAAATGTAAAATGTTAAATTCGGATTTTTAATTTTCACCCGAAATATCATATAACATATTATTTTATTACATCTTTTTGAAAAATGGGGGTCATATTAAAAGAATAGATAGTAGGGCTCAACATATAAAAAGGCTTTAAAATAACTTATCAAAAGAGCTTTGAGTGTGAATTGCATTGCTCAATCCACCATGTGTTCGTTTCTGATAATCTGAACAGACATATGTACCCTTGATTTGGGACCAGACCAGCTATTATCAACTTTGAAGGAAAATGT